CCAATATAAACACTACTACATTCACATTCTATCTTGTACATACCTGTCTTATCTGTTAATTCTATTCTGTCCTTAAGCATTCCTATCATATCTTTTATCTTATTTATTGGTTTGAAGATAGGGTAAAAATTCTGATACTTTTTGAATACTTTATATAATTGACTTGTTAAACCTGGAACGTAAGGTAAACTTAGTGTTTCTTTTTGTTTTTTTCCATAAGCAGATTTTAATGTGGTATTTTTAACTGAATTTGCATTTTTGTTAAACCTCTCAAATGCTTTGTCTACTATATTTGGATCAAATCCTCTATCTTAATTAATAACAATTCGTTATTTAAAGCTTCCTGTCTTGAGCATATTTTTAAAGCTCTATAAACATATGTATAAAATGCTGATATTTTTTGGGTTATTATATGACATGATTCACTTTTGAAATGACGAGAGAACAGACGTGAATAATGTTAATGCTAAATTTTATTTCGCAAGCAGGATTTTTATACTAACTTCTTAGTAATTATTCACACTATCATTCACATTTCAAAATGTTACGTAACTTAAACAATAAAAATGTAGATTTACCGCATGTTATTGTTGAGCAGCTCTTAACATGACTGAAATGCTCAACAATTCCTCTTCCCGGTGGACGGTATAAGTAGCTCAGAACTTTGGCTCTGAATGAAACCAAGAGTGCAACACAATTAACCTGTTTAAAGTCCACGAAATAACTGAAATTGATAGATTAACTTAAACATTTTTCATCACTGGGGACGAGTACTTTTGCTTGTGTCATATAACGTTCTGTAGATTTGCAGTAAAGTCTTTAATAATTTAAATTTAAGATATAATTAAGGTTTTCCTTATGTATTCATACTTGTTTTATTCACAAAAGTGGAAGTGCATAGTAGATTAGAAACCGGATGATGCATATTTATTACAGAGGGTTAATCAAACTTTATTTTAACAATTCCTATGTGTTTACGCAACAGAATGTCCTTCGTAGATGCGAGCTGTTGCATCATGGGTGACATGTTTTGCACCTATACATTTGGTTTATGGGGAATTCCATCCCGTTCGACAGTACAATGTCAACACGATTAGGTTTATTGTTGGAGGCTTATATAAAGTATTTCCGAAGATAAATATTAAGACATATACATTGTTAAGCATCGTAAAACAAGAGGGCACAGCATTTAGGAGAAGAAAGCCTTCAATATTCTCCGCAGAAATGGAATAATTCGCACAGCAGAGCATTTATGATACCAACTCACTATGCAGCAACATCATTATCCACAAAATATGTCAAGGCTACGAAAGAAGGCCGTTCGATCCAAAAATTCAACACGGTTGTGATACCGTGAACAAGACAGTAAACAAAGACTCAGAAAATACAAATTTACAGTCTTCCAGACATACCTCGAAGCCAGTGGCTCTTTTCTTGAGAAAGATAACCGTATAAACTGGAACTGTAGTCATTTCTTCAACCAAATAAATACACGCCAGCTCACCCAATACAGTTCCATGTACACGTTTGCTTAGTTGTGGTATTGGTATTGATGTGCACTTACAGGAAAAGTCGTGAAGATGCGTATGGTCTAAGGTTGACCTTGTATCTCGCAGAAGCTTAACATAATGGAAATAGTGTGCACTTACAAGAAAAGTCGTGAAGATGCATATGGTCTAAGGTTGACCTTGTATCTCGCAGAAGCTTAACATAATGGAAATAGTGTTTCTGAACAAAGCACTAACGTATAACCAGGTCACCAAAATATCGATGGTGAAGGAATTAGTTTAACAGTAGCAAGGACTTGGAACATCGTTCTTATAACTTGCGATTAACATCAATACAATCTAAGCTACAGTACGGTTCTGAGTTACAGGAACCGCTATACTGTGTGACACATACTAATGATACAATCTAAGTACACTGCAATATTAAGTTATAGGAACCGCCATACTATGTGACACATACTACTACTAATAATAATACAATCGAAGCTACAGTACGCTGAGTCGTCACAAGTAAATAGACACCTAATTTTTCGTCATTTAACTGATTTATGCTAACTAATTTGTGTTC